ATTCAAATATATTATAAATTTGGAGATAATGATTGGTCAACTATAACGTAGTTGCCTATGACTCTACAGCGTACGCACTTTCCTGCGTCGGGTCTAGTTTCTGCGGGTAAACAGTTTACAACCCGAGTCTAAATCCCACGCGCAAAAACGGGCTCCGCGAGATACTAGCGTTTGAGTTTCATTTTCCTTTGAAGCGCGTGTGAGGGAAATACATTGATCGGTTGAGTTGCTTCCACGATGTGATTAACAATTAGGATTAGGGTTTGGTTGGAGGGACAGGACTAGGAGTGGCAAATGGGTCGAAAGGCTCATCGCTCACGAAAATGGAGCTTGTGGGCTATTCGAGCTCGTAAAAATAGGAGCCCGAGATTGAGTCGAGCGGGTCGGTTCGATGGGCGAGCCGAGCCCACTCAACTTGCATAAAAAAACGAGCCGCTCATGGGCTCGTTTTAAAATGTGACCGTCGGTCACTTTTTGAAAAGTGACCGTTTCAGCCTCTCATTATTTTTTTTTATATGTATTTTGACCGTTAACGATCACTGAATTTTTTCAGTGATCATTTTGGTCCTTAAATTTATTTATTTTTTTCCTTTTCTTTTATAAATAGTGACATTTAGCCACAAGTTTTTTTACAATTCTCTCAAGTTTCAATTATCTTTCTCTTAAATTTCTTGTATTGTGTTGATAACTTGCAATTTTTATATACAATTTATACAATATCCAATTCTCATTTCTCAGTTTTCACTATATTTATTGAAATTTCATCCAATTTTCATTTCTCACTACATTTATACAATTATTCTTCTACTAGTTATTACTTATTACAACTAAACAAATGGATCTACGCTTATTTGTCGAAAACTTGTTCGGTGTGGGAGGAAACGAATCGCATATGACACCGCAAAGTCAATTTCAGAATCAATTTGAAGGTCTAAATGATGTACCCCTACCTGAAAATATTTCAGATTTGGATCTTCATCATCATGTAAGTGGCAATCCAAATTATCCAATTAATTTGGATGATGTTGACGTCCCCGAAGAGGAACACAATTAGGAAGAAGAGACTAACTTAAACATTCCTAATGCGAGAGGAAAGCGAAAGGGGAAAAAACAAGCAAAATGTTGGGATCACTTTAAGTTGATTTCAATGGGAAAAATCGTCAATAGAGTCCAAGAATTCAAAGTAGTATGTAAATACTGCCAACAAAGATTGGCGTGACAAAGAGAATTTAGTACCACCCATCTCAACCGTCATTACAAAGTATGTGCGGCCAAACACGGACTTATTCCAGGCTGTTAAACACAATTGTAATTTGACAGTTTAGACGCCGATGGTTCTACTGCACCCCTATCTACATGGGTGTATTCGGAGGAGAAAGCTCGAACCGGAATGGTGAAGTTTGTTGTTGGTGCTGAGTTGTCTTTGGCATTAATTGACAACCAACAGTACGTCTCGTATGTGAAAGAATATCTACAGTCAAGGTACGTTGGGTTAAGTCGAAACACTCTTCGTTCTGATACAATACAGTATTTTACTTCAACAAAATAACAATTAATTATGGATTTGCAAAAATATGGGGGTGTCATATCTTTAACTTCAGATATATGGGAAAGGATTAATAAAAGAGTATATATAGCTGCAACTGTACATTATATAAACCCACTTTGGTGCATGCATAAAAAATTATTGCTTTTAGAATTATTGAGTTTCCTCACAACGCTAATAATATATTTAATGCTATTATTAGTATTGTTAGAGAATATCATTGCGAAGGTAAAATTCGTTCATTTACTTTCGATAATGCTAGTGTTAATAAAGTAGTTGCTGAAAAATTGCATAGGGTACTACAACCTGATTTTGGTGGGTATTTGTTTCATATTCGTTATGTATGTCATATTTTGAATTTAATTGTCCAAAATAGTTTAAAATATATAAAGGATGAACTTCAAAATATTAGGAACGCACTAATATATATCATAATCTCTCCAAATAGAAAACAAGCATTTGAGGATTATTGTGCCGAAATAGGAGTGCAAAATGCTAAAACATTTGTTAGCGACGTGAGTCATAGGTGGAACTCTACTTACTTGTTATTAAAGTCGTGTGAAGATTTTAAACATTTAATAACCGACTTTTATAACAATAGACATGTTAGAAGTGATGACGAGGGTATGTTGACTGAACGTGATTGGTATTTAGCTTTGAAAGTTAAAAAAATTTTGACATCTTTTTATGAAACCACTAAAATTCTATCGGGCGTTTACTATCACACCAATTGTATGGTGCTTGAACGTCTTTATATAATTGCAAGAACATTTCATAAATACAGAAATGACCCTGATTTTAGTGAAATTATAATTGTTATGGAATTAAAATTTAGAAAATATTGGGAAGATTTGCCTGTGTTATTTACTTTAGCATGCGTGATGGACCCTCGATATAATTTATCGGGAACTAAATATATAATTGATCAAATTTCAAACGCCTTAACATTTGATACACCTATCACATATAAAAATTTAGAGCAAACATAATGTGAAATGTATGAATTATATGCAAACCGAATGGGTACCAATATTAGTTGGGTACCATCTGCACCTACTCCTTTCACTAAAATTGAAGAAGAAGATGCGGAAATATTTAATTTATTTTAAGGCATTAATTCGTATAGATTTGATTCATCTGCAATGTGTTCATCTACTACCACAACCACTGTCATGTCATCACCATCTGTATCTCATTCTCATCATACATCTATGAGCTCAAGCCATAATGCATTGCCTGCTGAATTAATTGATTATTTCAACCAGAATATGCCAACAGATAAAACAATTAAAAAAAGTTCAGACGAAGTAATTGAATTCTGGCGAAGGTATGAACAACGTTGGTCAGTTATATCTGCAATTGCAAAAGATCTGTTGACACCTCCGGTTAGCACTGTTGCTTCGGAGTCTGCTTTTAGTGCAGGTAAAAGAGTTTTGAGCGAGGTCAGGAGCCGACTGAAAGAAGATATTTTAGAAGCGTTAATATGCGTTAAGGATTGGCAGGACACTCATTTTCGACTACAAGATAAATATGTCAAAATTGCATGTCGTCAGTAAGTAATATTTGATTTAATTATATCGATAAAACTTTTCTTTTCTTATCGTTATTTTTAATTTTCTTTAAAAAATTGTACACGCTACAAAAAATTGTTCATGTACAATTTTTAACTCCGCCTATTGAAAAATTAAGTAGCTGGTCCCAAACCCGGATAAAGGAGGAGGGTTTATATTTTATCTATTTAAAAAAAATATTTATTTTTTCTATCTCTTTTAGTTAAAAAAAATTTTTACTTTTTTATTTTTCAAATTACCTATTTGTTCTCAAAAAAAAGAAAGGACATCTACTCGCGAGCTGAGCTAGCCCTTTTTTGCACGAGCCGAGCTCGTGGTTTGATGGCTCCGCCCATTGACATCCCTAGACAGGACCAACGCCGAATTAGCGTCCCCATATTGAAGGGGGGTGCCTGGCCTACTTGGCCCGGTCCCTTTATCTTTATCCTTAGGATTCACCATCTTTGCCTAGATAGGTTGATCGAAACATTGACATCGTTTGACAAAATCAAATTTGATTAAATTTTGCAATCAATTAAGCAAGTTCAGCCAATCAAAATCTGAATACGTGGTCCCATCACTGTTTAATTTTGGATTAGAATAGAAGACATAATTGGCTCTAATTTGGCTATCGGACGGTTAAGGTCCTAACAACCAATAACTGGAAAAATAACGTGTCCAATTTTGATAATCAAGTCAAATGGCATAATAAAAGCATGTTGAACATTATTACTTAAAATAATAAAAGAGAAA